GAGAGGGAGAGATAGAAATATAAGTGGTTTGCATACAACAAGACTACAAAGAAGATAAACATTTTGCTTCCTCTAGCTTTACCTCATCCCCACTACTTAGAAGCATGGCAGCCATTTCAACCACCAAGTAGAGCGTCTGCTCAGACTTCATTTGATGGGAGAAAAGATCCTAGTCTTGGCCCTGGAATGCACACTGGCTGTAGCATTGACAACTGTGGCTTGGGCTTTCTCCTCCTCATCTCTCAAAGCATCTTCATACAGAGAAGGGAGGGACCTGGGAACTGTATTGTTGATCTTGGCCAAAACGTCTAGGAGTTTCATCTTGGTGGTTTCAGCATAAGTTCGTAGACTCCATAGGCATTCATTGCATGGAGGACCATCCTTGAGCACTTTCTGAAACACCAGGTACCTTTCCTTCACCAAATCTTTGGTTATAAACTTCCTGGGATCCCCAAAAGTTGAGTGCAACTTTCCAGCATAGATGGCCAACACACTCAGGAATTCCCAAATTTCATATTCAATGACATGATTATCATTCATAAAGATTATGCCCAAGAGGGTAATCACCAGACCTGTCTTGAACAAGCCGCTGCTTGCCATTAGAATTCTTCCTTTGGCAATATTCATCTTGCTGATGAAGTGATAGGAGTTACTGTTGGGGTGAATGTCCTTCGATTCAAGGCCAGAGACCAGCTCCATGCAATCCACAGCTTTCTTCAGGATCTCAGAAAAATGCTCCATACATTTTTTGTTGAAAAGCTTCAGCATGTATGTCATATAATGTGCTCTTTATTTTTATATTTATCAATCATAAACTACACCAATGGGCTTACCTTCAAGGACACAGGATCCTTTTTTGAGTTCACATAGAAAGATGCTTTGTGGGTGGTGTTTGGACTTTTCTTAATGTTGGATCTTTGCACCTCCATTCGATTTTTTGCATAGAACAGCTGGAATGGGAGTGGCAGAGGTTGGGGCTTTTTTTGTTGTTGTTAGGTGTCACTGAGTCTGTACCAACTCATAGCAACCCTATATATGCATAGCAGACTGAAACACTGCCCGATCCTGGGCCAACCTCACTACTGTTGCCATCCTTGAGTCCATTGATGCTGCCACTTGGCCAATCCATCTCATTGAGGGTCTTCCTCTTTTGCTCTGGCCCTCCATATTACTAAACATGAAATTCCTCTCCAGTGACTGGTTCCTCCTGACAATATGTCCGAAGTATGAGACACAAAATTTGGCCATCTTGGCCTCCAAGGAGCACTGTGGTTGCACTTCTTCCAAAACAGATCTATTGGTTCTTTTGGCAGACCATGGCATTTTCAATATTCTCCTCCAACACCATAAT